GGGGGGGGGTAGGAAGCCAGTGGGGTGATATTGCCGCTATGTTTATCGCGTCTCAATCATTCTGGCGCGACGGCTGTTGTGGGCGCCGAGGTGGGGGCACAATGGAGGAAGCCCCCCAGCGTCACACTGGAAAGGGACGCTTTCATCCCCTGCCCCACTCCTCCTCCGGGCTGGCTGCTCGGCCTGGCCTCCTTTCCAGTACCTCGGCCGCCGCGGGCTTGCACCTCCCGCAACCGTGCCAGAGGCAATCGAAACTTTTTTTGGTCATTTATAGGGCCAACTCGGGTGCGACTGGGTCTGGGCGCGCTGCCCGGAGAACCCGCAGGATTTACCGAGGGGCCGGCGAGGAGGTGGGGACACGGCGGGTCGAGTTGCGCCAAACGCACATAATAACGGTGTACAAAATCGCGTCGAGATTTTGCCGATACACTGAAAATTAGTTTCGCTTAGGACCTTGTGACGTTGTTTATGAACAAACTTCCGTGACCGCATTTTTGTTCAGATTTTTAATAAAGAAAAAAAGTCTTTAAAATACTGCCAAGTTTTTGGTAGTCAAAACATGCCTCATATATTATGGTTGAGACACTCACCAAGTGGCCACATTTTTCTATTGTCAAAACCATCGATAAGTCCTACTTATCCTGCAAATGTTCACGTCATCGTCGTCACCATGCAGATCGCGGATGACGTTGATAGAAATTTTTGCATCAGCCAATATTTTATGATGGTTCCTTAACTAAACTTAGGATGCGATCGCTACCTTTTTCACCTCCGCGAGTACGCAAACTCTCAATCTTCCTCCCTGCCCTGGTGGTTTCTCAAATCCCTTCCCCCTTCACAAAAGCCCACGTCCGTCGCTGGCGGGTCACGTGATGTGTCGATATCGCTCCTGGCTCTGATTTCCCCGTACGGTGTCGGCCACGAGGCCACCAGGGGGGCGTAGGGGCGCCTCCTGCCCCCCCCCTCCCCCTCCCCCTGCTCCCCTTCCCCCGCCTGGCATCCTTGGGGACGCGAGACCGCACCGCCCGGGCGCAACCCCCCCCCCCTTTCCTATCTCTCTCCTCGCAGTTCGCTTCCCAATACTGGGCCACAGAGGTGGCGGTCGGGCGGTCGGGATGCCGGCCTGAGCAGGATAGCGCATACACGGGGAGAGGAGACGCAGGCAGGCCTCCCTCTCTCCCTCCCATGGCCCCTGCAGAGCGCCGGGTAGGCTCGCCCGCAGGACGCGGCTGTGTGGCGGCGCTGCCTACCCTCGCTCCGTCGGGCGCTCCGCTCCGCACGACCCGGCCGACCCGGGAGTTGTTTGCCGTCAAACATTTGCCAAATCCCCCTGCAAAACCAATCCGTTCTCGACGAAAGGTCACTAAAACTGTTAGATGTGTTTCGAAGTGATGGCGATCGGGCATTATTTCTCGGCCCTCGTTTCTTCTTGCGACCGTAAAGCGAGTTCTTATAACGAAATTTTTTTGTTGTAAAATAGAAAGAGGATGTCTATTAAACTCACGCGTGCAGCCGCGCGGCTCATCCGAAGCGTCTCCGCAGTCGTCGGCCGCGTCGCAGTAGCGGTTGAGCGGCACGCAGCGCCCGTTGTCGCAGAAGTACTCGGACAGGCGGCAGGCTGGGGTGGGCGGCAGCACGGCCAGCCCCGCCGCCAACCCCGCCAGCCCCGCCAGCAGCAACAGCGGCAGCAGCAGCAGTGGCGCCGACCGCGGCTGCCGAGGCCCTGGCGGCCGAGTCCCACCTGAAACAAATCAACGACCATTGTTACAACTCGAACTTTCTGTTCACAGAATTAACTCGCAAGAGATCGGCAGAGCGATGTCACATATGAAGTCCCAAAATTCAAGTATCAAAAACTGTTAAGATTTTTGCCACGCTTGCTTGTATGAGGAATTTCCGACACAGTTGTGTGGAAAATTTTAGAAATTGCCCATACAGCGTATGGAACGTGATAATTCCTGTAAAAGTATAGGAAATTTCCCATAAATCAAAACGTAAGTGCACGAGGGAAATGCCAAGTTTGTGTATAACATTCCTGTACTCTATGGGAAGTACAAAAATAACTAAAGCATATGTGTAGTGTATCCACTTACAAAATCATCGACAGATTTGTTTCGTGTGTACTGTTGCTAACATTTTGAAGCGTAGTCGGAACGTCGGTCGGCGGCGCTTTATGTGTGTGTGTGGCATGCAAACAAGTCAGCTGCTACCATCGCCGGCTGCAGCAGGCGCAGAACGCTCCCAGGCGATAGGAGGCTGGTGGGTTTTAGTGGTGTTGGTGTTGAGGTAGGGGAGGGGGTGATGGAGGGGGGGAGGGGGGGCGGCCGCTACGTGTCCTGTTTGAAGAGCGGGGCCGCTATCAGATGTCCCGCGGCTCCCCATGACTGGCCACACTGAAAGGATTTCCGAGCAAGGTACAGCAAAATAAAATACGCATTTTTGTCCTACGCAAATTGGGAACACATTTTTCGTCTTCGGAAACCAAGTAGGTTAATTTTATTCAAAACCATCCGAGCGGCGATTAGAAGTGTGGAGGAGAAAGTCCAAATCAGTCCTATCCCGATAGCTGGTCACGGTTCGCTTTTCTCTCATCTCTAGCATACCTGAAACGGTGTCGTCGTAAGTACTAAAAATTAGTCTTGACTAGAAGAAGGAATTTTTTTAAGTGCGGGCGGGGCTTATATTCCCTCTACAGCCGCGGTCCTCACGGTAAAGGGAGAACGATCACACCGTGAAAGCCGCATATATATGTATATATATCGTATAAAAATAAAATGCTTTGAGTAGAAATAATAATTTGGGGGAAAAAAGTCGGTCGTCGACCAAATGGTGTGGGCGGGTGCGAGCGGCCCCGGCGGCATAAAATGCAAAATTGGCAATTCCACACGGCCGTGCGGCGTGCGGTGTGAGCTGCCGGGGAGGGGGGGAAGACGGCACCCTAGCCACATCGTGAATATTTTTTTTTCATTTTATTTTAAGGCGAGGCGCCGGACGGCCGCCGCCGCACTGCTGGGCTGCTGGGTCGGGGCCGTTTTAAGGGAGAATAAGATGAGGCTCGGGGTAGAGGGAGCAGATAGCCTGCTGAGGCTTGGTGGGGCGGGGCGCGGGACGCCCATCTAGGCAGGGGCGCCAACAGAGAACACAATTATTTCTTCTAAAGTTGGTTAAAAGCGCCCTCTAGAAGAGCTACGTGGCTGCGTCGCCCGGCAAACCCCATCCCTCCACCACTCTTGTCTCTCTTTGTCCGTCTCTCTCTCTCTCTCTCTCTCTCTCTCTCTCTCTCTCTC